AAAAAAAATCAGCTCAACTATTCTTTGTCTGGAAAGCAAGACTTTGGATCACTCTTTGGTAGAATATCCCTGCTGCTTATGCTGCATCTCTTCCACACTTTTTCCTTCCACTCAACCTTTCATGAATTGTGAAATGCCAGCTTATTTAGGCACTGGCCTTTCGTTGGATGCCCCACTTGTGGAGGGAGTCAATGAGAACTCAACTTAAAATTAATATACTGTACTATTTTTTTTAATCCAGGACTTGATTAGCAAAATAATCCAAATAGTTTGCCTTTATAACTCAGGTCTTGATATATTTGATTGTTTTAACAACCACATAAATAAACACCGGCGCAGAGGGAACACTTAAGACACACTCCGTTTGTCCTGCAGAGCTTTGCACTCACTTGTCATGCAGAAGCATTGCAAAGCATGTCTAGAAGAAGACAATACATTCCCCCAATGAACTCTCGTGGACAATTTGTAGTTTTTGTATAATCTTGCAAAATGATCGTCTCCATGTTGCAGTTTGTGCATGTGTGTCCTTGGAGCTTGCCCCAGGCCTACCAAGTGAGCCAGTCTAGCATTATATTATGCCTTTAAAACACAGGCGTCAAACTCCAGCCCTCAAGGGCCGCTCCCCTGCAACTTTTAGATGTGCCTCTGCTGCACCACACCTGAATAGAGCAATTAGGTCATTAGCAAGGCTCTGGAGAACTGATCTCCACAAGGAGGAGGTAATTAAGCCAATTCATTCCAGTATTTTGTACCTGTAGCACATCTAAAACCTGCAGGACAAGTGGCACCTTGAGGACTGGAGTTTGACACCCCTGTTTTAAAAGAACGAGACATGCATGCAGTGAGACCCGGTGCGTGGACACTTCCCCAACATTTTTATTTTTGTTGACCGGCTCGGGAAGAGAGGTGAAGCGGCTGATAGACAGATTATTGCGAAAGCTACTAACATCAAGCCCAACTGAGGCTGACTGAAATAAAAATAAGAGCAGAACTACTAGCAAAAGGGGAACAACAGAGTGCAGGTGCAAGAACTCATCCGCTCTTCTGAAATAATAAAGACACAGGAGGAGGCAGGTACTTACAGCATTTCCAATAATGGCATAAAAATGGCCATACAGGCGCAATTGAGCGCATGGGAAACCAGGTTACTGCATGCAGACTCTAACTGCTCTGTGAGAGAAGGCGGTAGAGAGATGTGGTTTTGTTTCTCAGAGCTCCTATTTGCAGCCTCCTTTTTCTTTTGCTACCGACACATTAGATAAGTACAAAAAAACCCCTCCAAAAACGGAATCCTTTTACATCACACAAATGCACAGCTTTCACTAAGAGGTTATAGTAACCACAGGTAGGCTGGAGGAGCACCCTCACAAAATACACTAAAAATCTACATTTAAAAAAAATGCAACTGGGGCAAAACTAATGCATTTTTTATAAAATAAATTAAAAAAAAAACTTGATGAGAATCAGCAGGGAGTGGTAGAAATGGTTTATATTTATCGAAAACATTTAGGCTGGTGGACCCATAATGCACAAAATCCAGGTCAGCAAAAATCACAGCTCCTCAAATCTCGCATCATGTTTGTCCTGTAACGACGAGATGTTAAACCAGGTGTCATGTGTGTTAATTCTATTTATAAAAATCCTCTTTAATATGTGAGGTTTGTGGCAAAGCAATGCCTATAACCCCCCCCCCCCCCCCCCCCCCCCCACCACCCCCAACACCCCCCAAAACCCAAAAACCCACCCCCCCCCAACCC